AATCAAGGTATTACGCGCAAAACAAGAATCGAAAGAAAAAGGACTCAAATGCAGCAAAATTTGTTCTTCGAACAGGAGAAGAAATTGACTTATAGGCCAAATTTAATCGCTGATTAAATTAAGTTGCAAAATATTTTGTTAAAATGTAACAAAAAGTTTGTAACAAAAAGTTATAAAATAAAACTTTAAACGCGTTTTTCTCGAATTCACGTTTTTCAAACTGGTGAAAAATGTACAGCTTTAACCAATCATCCGATTGACATGAAGTTTTTTCCTACGAAAAATGCCAGTTACTTAATCGGCTGTTAATTGATCAACCACATTTGATATTTAGTAGAATTGACCAATTATGGTTGATAGATTAATCGGCATTGGTATAAAACCGGATCTTTTAGATTAAAATATTTTCTTGTTTACCGAATGTTAAACAAGGATGGCATCTGGAAAGCACTCGGGTATCTGAGAATCGATTGTGTATCTTGATGTGAGATGAAAATTACAAAAGTGAATAATTCACTAGATATTGGCCAATTAAATTATGAATATTCTAGTGAATTTGCTAATTTTTGTAATTTTCATTTCTCATTTCGAGATACACAATCGATCCTCTGAACACGCCCTAGAATCTAGAATGTTTCTATTGGAAGACAATTTTTAGCGCCATCGTAGTGAATCCACAAATGGTGAACTAAAGTTAATCACGTGACAAGAAGTGGGAAACTGATGCCATATTTAAATCTACGCGTATACATTCATATGAATAAATATCTAGTAATAAATTATATAACAATTACTTAGGAACTTATAATATTCTACGCATTTTTTGCAAATAGATAGTATTGTAGAAAAATAGTATTTAATTTTGTGCGGACAAATTCTGCTTTATAAAATCAGACAGTAAGTCAACGTTTAAATTTCTAAATGAGTTTTACAGTCTGAGAATTATTAATAGAGCAAGTGCTTCTTCCATTTCAACAAGAAGAAAATTATTTATGTTGTGTGTATTTACACTACATGGCAAATGCTCTGAATTTCAATTCTAACATTAGACTTTAATTTGCGTCATATTATTTTTATTTTTCTTTTTCTTCTTATCGTTATTCATATGCACGTACACTTCATGTGCTGATAATTAAAATGCTTAGTAGAAAATTTTCCTGCAAACGACATTTTCTTGTCAGCGACATTTTACTAATCTTTGCGATTGTTAGCACCTCGTGGATGTTTATACTAAGCTGCTTTGAAAGCAAGATATGCACAAGATAAAAATCCCGAAGCTAATAGAATATTTAGAATCAGGTTATAAATGTTGCTCTTTTAGTTCTTCAATATTAAATATAATAATTCCCTAAACAGAACAGCAAGTTATTATGATATCAAGATGATTCCAAAATGATCGTTAAAAGTCATTTTTCTATCATTTCTGATTCATTTTAATGTCATTTAGACATTAATCATCTTGTTGTTCTTAGAATTGTCTTTGGTTTTCCTCTCAATACAGTATCTTGATATAAAGAATTAAAAAAATTAAATAACATACTTAAATGTAAAACAAAAGATATTAAAATATACTTCTGTTAAGTATAAATCTTACAATGCAAACCCAGGTAGAATATAAAAATCACAATAATCAAAGAACGTTATTATCATGACCTTATTTGTCATTTATAAGTGACAAATGAAGTCACAATGATATTCTTATATGATATTTTTATGATTTCTATGTCTATCTGGGCTTACGTTAGAAGATTTAAATTTTACAAAAGTGTATTTTAATATCTAATGTTACACGTTCATATTCATTTGTCATTTATAAGTGACAAAGAACTTGTAAATGACAAATAAGGTCATGATAATGTTTTTATGATATTATTATAACTTCTATATTTTAGAGTTTGCGTTATAAAATTTAAATTTTACAGAAGTATATTTTAATATCTTTATCTTAAATTACATTATTATAACCTTATTTATCACTTATATATGACAAATGAAGTCATGATAACGTCTTATGATTGTGTTCCATCAGGAGAAGATATTTTCTTCACAGCATCATTATAGAAAATGATGGAGAAATGGTATAGCATTAACATCAATATATGATGAAATGTCCAAAGATATACTCGTCTCTCTAAGTAAATATGTACGATTCATTCACGCTGATCTCTGCCTCTTTCACGAATTCTCCGTCCCTCCGGTCACTCTCCGTTTTGTGTGCTCGACCAACAGCACTGTCTCTGACACGTTATAGTTCTATCAGCGGAGATTTGACACTTGACCCTTGACGCTGGCCTAAGTGTTCGCATCGGCGGGTAAATCGCAAGCATTCCGCGGGATCGGCAGTCCCGCGTCAATCATCGCGCGCTTAATTATACTTACTTGGTATATTGGCCGAATTCCGTTGTTTAGCAGTCGTCGATCACGTGCATCCGCATATATAATCGTATTCCCCCGCGTATTACGCGAAACTTGCGATATCCAACGGCGCGTCCTTCTATACGTTTCGACGTAGACGATAAATCCTTCTCTTTATTTTCTTCTTTATTTTTCCTCTTTATTTTTCTTCTTAATTTTTTTCCGTCTCGCTGCGATACGGAATTTTTTTCGATTGTTCTATCGAACTGATGTGTGTCAGCGTTTATGCGATAATCTCAGTGAAGAAAACGGATTGAGACCATGCACGTGGAAAATGCGCTCGCGATTGCCACAGGTTCACGCGCGAGGGTGAGGCAGCGCGATTAAAAAATTCTGCGATTATTCACAAGAAAGAGATAATCGTGCCAGAAGTTTTCATATTTTCACAAAGAAGCTACGGTGCGCAGTCAACGGGATTTCGCTGTTAAAAACAGAGTTTCAGATTTTCTTCAACATCGAAATCTGGATGAAGCTGGACCAACACTTTGCATCGCCGAGTCGATTAAATCTTACATGAGCAACTCGATTGGAAAATTATAATTATTAAAAATTATAAATTGCAGTTTACAATTTGAAAGGGAACGAAGTGGATAAAGCAGTGCCAAGAATAAGTTCATATATCGAAGCTGCAAAATTGTACCGAGTAAGCAATTGGTCAAATAAATATTATTTTGCAAATTTTTTCTCATCAAAAAAGACATGCGATTTATTTACGTACAATTTTTTATCAATTTTTTCCTAATACATTTTTATTAAAAAATAATAGCGCAGAGATAATATTTATTTTTTTATATTTGTTGAAAATACAAATGAAAACTAGAAAATATTTCTAAGGGAAACCGAAGGAAAAACTGTACAATCATAAATCATATTGTCTTCACGTCGTAGTTATCTATCATCTTTCTTGTTAGGAACTAAATTGTCACAGAGATAGTTGGCATTGACATTTTGTCGCAGTTATTTACTGTTCGAAAACAAATAACAGCAAATTATTCTTATACAAACATTATATTTATATTAAAAATAATTTTTGTTAATTTCAAAAATGATCAATCGTGCTCGTATCGATTCGCTTCAGTTTTCCTTTTGCGATAAATAAATTCTTAATTTTTAAATATTTCTAATTTATAATTTGATATCTTTTACGTAACGCGCCCCAAATACGCGGAACATTAATCAGGTTTTATTGCCCAACGAATTACATTATATCGATACGTCGATGAAACTTCATGCGAGGGAGGATTCTTAATTGAATGATATGAACGAACTCCATTCCGATAGCATCATGTTCTACGCTTTTTACGTCATATAAAATCCGATACAAATTTATAAATATCTTTTTTCATATAATTGACAAATTATTTGACATAATTATTATAAGAGCTAAAACGCGCTTACTACAATTGACGCTGTACTTAATCTCATGTAAACAAAGCCTCTAGTCTAATCTAATCTAAGCGCTCTTAGACGAAAACATTTAATAGTCTGTTTTTCGTTTTATTTTTTTTTTTGCTAAATAAATTGCGCAAACAATTATGTTTGAATCGAAATCAAGGCAGATCAGTTAGCGTCGTATCAACCACGTCCACTCATTCGCGCCTATGTATATATATATATAATATATATATATACATATATACATGTATATATATTGTGAAAATAACGAGAATCCAGATAAAAGATCGCGACAATTATCGGCATCCAGGAAGAAAACTTATTTTCCCCTAACATATTGAAATCTCTTATCGAACATTTCGTACTATATTGACTCGGCACATTATTCTGCGTCGTATATAAAAATCACTCGATTTTCAGGAAATATGCTGAAAATCGAGGGACCATTTTTTGCATCGATTTTATTTTGACTTTGTGTAAATGATGTTATATTTGATAACATTTTTTTGACCTATTTCCACATTTATTTGAGGCATATAGTATTAGTGCATTAATTCTACCAAAACAAGCGTCACATTATATCACTTAAATCCCCAAAAAATCGCACACTACGATTAAACGAAGTTTATTACAGCAATTAATTGAAGAAAAACAACTTGTTAATGATATCTTAACGTGTTTTCCCCCCGATACACTTTGTGCCTCGGGGCCGAAGTTTAGTTCCGTATTTTTGCGCATGTTAAGGCAAATGATATAAGGCGGATTTGGTACTTTGGAACGCGATCCACATTGATGATTTAATATCAAAACTCGTGCAGCAATGCAAAATGTAAGATATATGAGTTGCTTTCTCTCTAATATCTTCCTTTTATTTTATTTCATTTTTTCTTCTTAATGAACAACCAAGCGCGATCTTGACCAGTTCTCAAAGAACATAACAATTCGTAAACAGTTATCAAAAATAGTAGACTAATGCCCGTTACTATCAATGTAGATTAATTTTAATCTCGGTTCAACTTGCTCTTCATTCTTTTTTAATTCTTAGAACTAGAAAAAGATGAAGAGTTAACCCAAGCAGAGCAACAAGTCATGATAACGTCAAAATGACATTGAAATAAATCGAAAATGATTGAAAAATAACTTTTAATGATCATTTTGGAGTTATTTTGACAGCATTTTGATATCATAATGACTTGTTGTTCTGCTTGGGTAATTAGATCAAGATTAAAATTAAACTACGTTGGTAGGAATGGGTATTCGAGCTTCAGCACCTACTTGCTCGGACCTGCGCCGAAGCTTCTGTATGTCAGCAAGAACTCGAGAAATAAAACGAATCAGTATTATAACACACCCCGCACAATGAGGGTTCGTTATCAATAGCACACAGAGGCGACACAATTACAAGTAGATCGCGATCGACGAATGTAGCTTCGAAATATATTATTTTGCACTCGGCACGCTCTGTCCGACTGATTTACAATGTAATTCAGGATTTATGCGATCATTCAACCCGAAGCTGTGCAACGTGAAGGCGATTCTACCCCTTTTCTCGTAAGACACAAAACAATATAAACACCTCATAAAAAGCATATTCTGTCTGAAAACTATTTTCTTTTTTTTAAATATCTCTTCATATGTAAATATTTTTTTAGAAATAATTAAATAGGAATTAATTTGAGAAGCTAAGTGATTTTTGCAGCAAAATCATTTTGCGTTTTGCATTTAATATAGTAGATAAATAAAAAATAAAAGTTTAAAAGATCTTTTTTTTATGTTTTAAACTCATTTTTTTTTTCTTCAATCATGATTAATTATTCAAGCTTTGTATTGAATCGCAGATCACTTTGTAATGTAACTCTTTGATGTAACTTTATCTACGTATTACGTTTAAAGGCCAAATCACTAAACACAAACAAATACGATCTGGCAAACGTTCATCATGATACGTGTATCTGTTTGAATAATCGTGCGAATAATTACTATTATTATTCCATTGGAACATTCTCTTTAGATGTATATATTACCCGAATCTATTATTTCCCAAACTTTCCGAGCTAAAAGTGTGAGCATCAAATCTCGAATTCACATCACAACGAATAGTCTTATCCTCAACATTTTTTTTTATTATTCTATAAACTTTCAGATAAGGAAAAACTTTTGAAGTAATTCCATGATTAAATCGAGGAAATACATGATTGCGAAAGATATATCTTTTAACAAGATCAAACGTGACAGTTTCAGATGATTGACAATTTGATCTTCAACGATATGGGGAACGTAATGCAATTAGTCGAGGCCGAGGACGAGGAGAGTCTCGGCAAGTGCAATGGCACGATTCACGCAGAACTGCCAATCGAATTGCGTTTCAATGACGGCCACTTGGTGACGATCATCACTTACAGCATCCTAATGGTGATATCGGCCATTGGAAATATTTCCGTGCTGACCATAATAAAAAAACGAAAGTCCAAGTCCCGGATACAGAATCTCGTAATGCACTTGTCGATCGCTGACCTCTTTGTAAGTATAAGCCCGACGCGGGCGCAAATAACTTACGATAAAGTAATCATACCGCTCGCGATTTGCGCTTCAATGTAGCAAACAATATGAGATATGTTGCAACTTGTCATTGTTCAGGTGACATTCCTGATGATGCCATTCGAAATCGGATGGGCGAGCACGGTATCCTGGGAAGCAGGAGACGCGATGTGTCGCATAATGGCTTTCTTCAGGACATTCGGCCTGCATCTTTCATCCTTTGTAATAATCTGTATAAGTATAGACAGGTCAGCACAACGATAACCATAAATCGCGATTATTCTGCGATACTTTTAGTGTACACTGGATATTAAAGCCTAAAAGTTGTACACTGATTTAATCTAACTATAAAAGTAAAATGTAAATATTTCAAATTATAAAATACATATTTTATTTAATAATAATAATAGTACAACAAAATGTGTTGAAGATTTCACAGTTTCTATATTTATCAAAGACACATCTTTACGGCAATTATGTGTACAATACAATAGGTTTAATATGCACTAATGAGCACTGATTGTGAGTGCATCCAATTAAATTCACTATTAGTTCCAATCCATTGAACGTATCCCATACAGTAGAAATGTCCAAGTTACATCAGTATCATTACATAACAATAGAAACAGCCTAATAACGCAATGTCAATGGAATATCCGTATAATATATTCGAGATATTTCTACTATGGAGTACGTTAACACGATTTGCTGTATTTAGGATAATCGTACGTTTTGAATAAGACTACACATCACTTCAACTTCATCTTCTTCAGATATTACGCCGTGATGCGACCTCTCCAAATACTAGATATTCACAGGAGAGGGAAGATATTGCTGATGTTTGCGTGGATTGGCTCTGTACTTTGTTCCATGCCACAGGTGCATTAATTTTTACTCAAACTGTATAAAATGCCACTTCGCTTCGTGACCGGCGCTAAACGGCAAGTTTCATTTCTTGTAGATGTTGGTATTCCATCTTGAGACGCATCCAAATCACACTTGTTATACCCAATGTATAACGTTCAATATCTTCCCATCGTACGTGCACGAAGTTTTCTACAATTTGTTCAGTATGGTAGTGATGTATTGGTGCCCCCTGATTGTAATATTTTATACTTACACCAGTATTTTCATGGAGATCTGCCGTAGATCCAGGGAGAAGAGTGAAGGTACGGTCGAATGTAATTTATCGTGCTGTAAGAATTATTCATATTATTTGAAGCGCGTGCACTGAAAAAGAATCTAATAGTTATTTAATATTAAATGAAGTAATTTCAATGTTCGGTTAATGTAATAAAAAATTAGCATGATGAACTAACTTAAGGCTAATTTTATTTTTCTAAATATTTAATAATTATCATCAAGGATTGATTACTATTATTATGTTTGGTAATATTCTAAATACACACCAATTCGCTAAACAAAATACATTTTGCTATTACCAAACTTTTTCTCGATGTATTTCTGATTTATTTAACAAATACAAATTTAATAGGAGATACTATTTTAATACGTATAGTAATAAATAAATGATGCGATATATTAAACAGGTATCTTTTGCAGATAGAATACGTCGCTCCTCGTGCAGTTTTCTAAGCCGAGCGCGAGTACGCACTTTAAAAATGACGATAACCATTATCGCTGTCTTCATTATCTGTTGGAGTCCTTACTACGTGATGAGCGTTTGGTGAGTCTGTGATTATTCTTAATTTCTAAAATATTTTTCTCGTCGACTAGAAATCAATCGCGGTATTAGTAATAACATACGCATTTCAAAAAGTTGACGGTATCGCCAGATTATGTAAACGTATAAAAAAGATCGATGATTGACATACATAATGTACGACTTTGACGTGACTGACGTTCACGGCTATAGATACGCAAATTCTATCTTACAAGAAGGAAAATAACATCTCCCATATTAAAAATCTTACTATTAAATTCTGTGATCTTTATCGGCAAACGCATGCAAACAGGTATTGGATTGATCGATCATCAGCCCTCAAAGTGGACAAACGCATTCAGAGAGCTCTTTTCTTCTTCGCGTGCACCAACTCCAGCATGAATCCCATCATCTATGGTATCTTCAATATTCGTCAAAGAAATAAAGTAAGTATTAACTATCTCGAACGTTATGACGCTGTAAATTTTCTTCAATTTAATGAAACTTCTAGTCTGAGACATCATTAACTTCAATGACATCTCATATAAAATCGTAAATTATTTTCTCGACAAAAAGTTTTACATTAAAAAATTTATATTGACATGCATACGTAACGATCTTACAGCCAATGTTAATCAAATTCATCGTCATTATAAGCGTGAAATAGAATTTGATTCAGGACTTCGTGTAACTGTCACATTAATTCGATTATCCATGCTCTACATATTGTTAATGTCACGTTTATCTGTGCAATTGCAATAGATATTTTAACATCTTACGAAGACAAATCTATACTGCTTGCATTAAAAAAGAGGCATATTTCCATGACTCTCGTTTGCTAAAAACTGAAAAGTTACATTAACCCTTTCATTTTTTTCTATTCATACATTCAAGCTAACAGTTGGCTGTTGCCTGTATTTCTAGGCACAGCTTCAATCCCATCCTCTTCTGAAGCTCGTCAATACAACTGTGGAACTTCCTGTTGTCGCATACGCCAGAGATTCCATTTTCACCATTTTCGTAATAACATTACCAATTTTTTTTAACCCTCCAACTTCATATAACAGACGTTCATCGCATGATCGTAATGGTAATTTGTTGTTGTAATTATCTCGATAATTAGATATTTTTCTCTACTAATTGATAAGTCCCCTCCACTCCACATCTTACATCCGCATGTTTTCATGCGCGATCATTAGAAGAGTAATCATTGATGCTTTCTTGAAGAAATGAAGAAAACTCTATTATATGATAACCGCAATTACAAAAAATAACATTGAATATTCGAACCAGACGGAAAGACGTTTAAGAAAAACATTCAAGCTTCAAGACGGTCGATTAAACGAGATTTAGGACTTCGGCAACTTCCAAGTTCCACGAAAATTTCTATTTTCGTTTTAGGCGCCGATGCGTACAGCCACCATCGAGACCCGGGTCACGCCGCTGTCTCTATCCATCAAACTTCTCGATTGTCAATGAACGCGACGTTCGTCGGCTCGAATAGATGCGTTTAAATCAACGATGTTAGCTTAAATATCTGCGTTCTTTTACGAAAATAAGTTTCAACAGTAGTGCTGTCACGAACTGCATCTTACATGACGGTGCATCCACGTGCAGATACTGTCCGAAAACTGTCGTGTACGCAGAGCTATTTAAAAGTTCCTCATCTTACTCTACCAGATGAGAGATTAAAGCGAGATGAAAGCGACTGTGATCGATCAAATTAAATCGCGCCCGATGAAAGAAGATCTTCTGACAAAGTTGAAGAAACGCGATGAAGATGAAGAAACAGAGATTTTCCTAGGTGAACTATGTATTCATTTGTATATGTAGATATACGTTTTGTATTTATTTTCAAGTTAGTTAGTTATAAGAACTTTTAAAAGAAGATTCTAGACTAAGTTTTTATATGTAATTTGTTACGATATAAGCAAATGTTGCAAATGCAACTGTGAACGTGCTTCGTCGAGTGTTCTTTCTTTTTTTTATATATGTATATACTTTCGCGACACAAGGTTGTGCAAACAAGTTACGTAAGCTATTTATACACCGTTTATGTTCTGTATATTTTTATAAGGAGAAAAAAGATATCGAACAAAATGTGTGTTTGCATCGCGCAAATCTTCTTTCATTACTTAAAAACTTTTAAAGAATAAGCTCGCAGTCAAGCTATTGTGTTTCTGTCTGTATATTTTCCATAAATAAAAAAAAGGAGAATTGTAATTTGTGTGACACGCGTATAATATTCGGATTACTATTCCTGCGTGGTAACGTATTCCTCAGGTAACGTAATATGGTACACGTAATGATGTATTTCGGTCCATAACAGGTAAGGGAGTCAGCGTCTCTTTCCCGGAATCTGCAGACGCATCTCTGTAGCGTTCATCAGCTCAATCTAAATTGAATTAAATCTGCGTGACTTCGTATCGTATCAAGTCTGGTTTGTGTAACAGGCTAGTTATATACATCAGACTCAACCCGCACATCTTATCTGTAATGTCGGTCAATTAGGATGGAAAATTGATCGCATTGTACGGTGCGGCCGTACTAAGTCTCGGTCAGCATCCGACATGGCTGAAACGTAGATAATGACGAAGACGAAATGACGGCAGAGACCGAAGCGATCCCTTTCGTTCCGCGTATTCGTCACGTGTATCACGTGAACGAAAAATGGCATGACGTGTCGAAACGTAAAAGCAAAACATTTTGTTATGTTGAAATCGATTAAGAGCAATAATCTTCCGGCCATAAATTTTCAAGCTGATGCTGCAACAAATCAATCTATTTGTAAATTAGAAACATCACTAATCGTTAGATGTGACAAAATGTCGGATGAAATATGAAAAAGCATCAAAAGAAATACATAGAAATTTATAATAATCCAAAGAACATATCAAATTAAGAGAAAATCAAAATGACTTTATTGTCATGGAAGTCCAAATGATGACTTTTTGTTACAAAATTTGTCGTTAAGGATAAGAATTAAGTTAATTTTGACTTTTTATTGACTTTTGTATGTTCCTTGAGAATTTGTATAAGTCATAAATATCTAATTTGCAAAATGCTCATGTATTTAACGTCGGTAGAGCTAAGAACGTTGCTTACGCGCTCACTATTATTTAATCTTTGAATTAGAAAATTAAATTTTGGATGAAAGATTGGCAAATTTTTTTGGAGACACCGTGTATATCACCATGGAGGAAACTAGGCTTCTACAACGTGTCTACGGTTTGAAACTGGTGTGGATGTGTAGGTGGGACCACTTCCCACACACATGTAACTGGCACACCAGCGATATTGTTACATACCTGTTGCAAGGTCCGTCGCATCGAAAAGACCTAAACTCCTGTCACAGAAACTCTCTCCGAGATTGGAGTAGTTTTTTTAGCTATACAAAAAATTAATATATCAATAAGAAGCCGAAATTACGAACGCAAAAAGCTGGCTACCTTCCTACAGAATTTCTTTATAGTAACTTGTCTATAATTATCGCGATGACAGTTTTACAGGTACATTCCAAAATAAAAAAAAAGCACGAAATGCTAATGTGCGAATGAGTATTGCATATTAATCGATTTTGCCGAGAAATTCCTCGTGTCACCGTAGAAGGAAGCGTTTAATTTATATTAGCGCCGACTTTGACACACCTTTCCGCTATGATTATTTCATATCGTTAAAAACATCTTGTGGGCGGATGCATACAATAATGTCAGAGTAATGTATTGACGATATCCATTAATCATTCAGCCAGATCATACGGCAATAATATTGCTTACTCCACTGTCCATTTCGAATAGTAGAATTGATTTAATAAAAATTAAAATGCATCCAATAATGTAATAAAATGTAAATTTCACAAAAAATTAATACACATTTAAATAAATAATATTTTTGAGATAAAATCTTCACAAATAAACATAAATTAATTCTTCCAACCGTCTCTGTTCTC